TATACATCTGTACTGATTCTTTCCAGTGAACACATCAGCTTCATATAGCATCTACATAATCAAAGAGCCCCAGAGTCCCAGGTTTTGCAAAGCTTAAAAACATGGTTAGAAGCCAAACCTAATAGTCAAGATGGTTGCAAGTTACATGTATCATGTCTGTTCTTTCTCCTACCATCTTTCCTGCCTGCTTGGTTTTGGACCCCCTTGGGACAGCAACTCTGTTGTATTTTGTTTTCTATAGAGCTAAAAGCATAGGACAAGTTTTCTAACATAGCTTTTAAGTGCTCTTGTAATTAATATCCTGATAATTAATAGCGTCAGAATATTGCCATAGTGCATGCACAGACTGTTGATATCAATGTGTGATTCATTGGTTACACTGACTGCTGGGCACCAGTCACTGTCACCTCCAAGCAGTGTGTCTGTTTCCATCTTCTCCATAGTTTAACCTTTATATCTTAGCAGTTTCCAGGCTGCCTCCTGAATCTGGAGAGTTTGACATCAGATCCCACTTACTTTCACAAAATTTGTTACTTTTACTATCTCTCATTTTTAATGAAGTCGTCTAATGTGATATGAGGAATGAATTTTCCATTGATTGCAGAATTTGACAGGACAGATACTAATCCTTAACTATCCAGCTGTATATAAATCATGCTGCCTTCCTCAAGGTGGAATGCATAAAACTCTCCTACAAATCCACTCTTCTAACACACTAGTGAAATACTTGCAGACACACAACCCAGTGAAACAATCATGGGAAATTTAAGTAGAATGTTTTAAAGTATGGGCATTTTTTCTGTCTGTGGTCCATTTCAGGTGCCTGCATAGCATGTGTTAAATAGGGAGCTGGGGAGAAGGCAGCTTGGCAGCCTGGCTGGAGTTCCTCTTGTGCTCTCTGGGGAGGAGGTCAGGCTAGCTGAGGGGACATCAGTAATGCTGGATGTCTCCTTTGGAACAAACACAGCACACTTTGTGTAGTGGTGATCACATTGGCTGGGGCAGCATTGCTCTCCTTAATGAGGGCTGGCCACAGGCACACACAGCACAAGGGACTGCCTCGAGCCCCACACTTTCTCAGCTTCACCCAGTAATTCCCAATTTCAAGATACCCTGTCTGACACCCTTGGTGATAGCTTCCTGTGCCCATGCTATTGAAACCAATGCTTCCTCAATTCTAAATTTTGAGAAGTGAGGCCTTGGAGGTTGCTATGTTTGTGCTGGGCAGAGGAACATGTTCACTGCTTCTACAGAGTAGGGGATGCAGGTTTTAGCTCAATGTCTGAAGCAATGGCTTGTGATTTTCATGTCAGCTCTGCAACATCTTATCCATAGTGAGAGACCTCAATAACCCTTGTGCCCGTGGCTGAGACACTGAGGGGGAACAAAGGTCTTTACATACATTGATGTGCACAGGGGAGATGAAGGTGTGTGTGTGTGTGTATTACAAACCAGGGCTTGGTCCTGTGTGTGCACAGTCCCCCAAAAGACATGTTTTTGGCAGAGCTTGCACTAACATGAGTTCTGATCTGTTTCTGAGCCATTTGTTTAAATGGATAAATACCACTCATCCCCAAAATATTGGCTTCAATGTAAGAAAGCACACATAGAAGATAAGTACTTCCAATTAATACAGCTGCTTTTCTATGTTGGGATCATTACTTATGGCTTTATTTTTGTCGTACTTATTCTCATGCATTTATTACTATTTCAAACAAATTATAGGTCTGCAGACTGTAATATGTAACTCACCTAATCTGTTATCTGTAAACATGACCATCAGTTTTCTGAAATTACTTCCTCAGTAATTACACTGTTATTGATGACTTTTTCTGACGACTTTGTGCTTATACTACACCTCTCCAGAATCTCTTCTTTTGCACCTTGGTTTAGGTCTGTGACAAATATGAATGACCTGAGTTATGGTTATTTGTATTTATCAGTAAGCCTATTTAAAATACCAGTTATTAAATAAAAAGAATTAATTAAGCAAAAGTAGAAAAAGTATTACAGTCTTAAAGGTCATTCACTTCTTGCTTGTATACATTTTATTGTGCACATTTTTGCAATAAATACAAGAGGAATTATAGATTTAATTGATCCCATTATGCATTTGGAACAGGTTTGTTGCAGACAAGATGGGTGGCACGGTTGTAAGAGAGCAACTACATAACTTTTGCTGGGAACTTGACATGAGTGAAATAGAATTTGAACTGAAAAGCAACATTGTGCCTATCACAAAAATCAAAAGAGGGACATTCTATCACAGAGCTTTACTTTTCAAGGTACATTATAATTTATTTTGCAACGTAACATATTATTGTTAAATGGATAATCTAAACTAAAGTATATTTGCATAAGTATAATACATTATTTATATTCATGCAAAATCTTTCGTATACAGTTTCATAATTTTTCAACAGCAAAGTTGATTTCCCAGTGAATGAAATCCAGCTTTGCTTCTTTCTGTAAACATTCTTGTTGTCATTAAATTGTCTTAAGTGATATCAGCAGAATACTTGATAAATGGCAAAAAGCCAAAGAATTTGATTTCGAGTCAAAACATTTCACATTTTTTGTAAACTGTAAAATATTAAATTATGCAGCTTCCTTCTTTTTCCATGCTGCAAATGTAGACTTGTTGAGACAATTTTTATTTGGTATCTATCCAGTATTCCGGGATAGTATATAACAGCTTCTATGTTCTAGTTTCTTAGAAGAAACTGTGAAGTTTTATTTCTTCTTGCTTCATATGAGGATGTATTGGTGCAGCCTGATTATCTGTCCCATCCTTTTTCCTTGGCTGGATTTTAATCTTTCTTGAATGGAAAGAAACAAAGAAACAAGGGCCTAGCACATTAAGCAGGAAGGACCTAGGAGAGAGTACACAGAAGAAAGAGTATGACCCTAAATTTATGGTATCCATAGGGAGAGAAAGTTTCCACTTATTTTATGCCATTCTAAGGGTGTGAATTAATTATGCTCCACTGTCCTAAGAAACTTTTGTAGGGACAGGTCATCTCTCTTAAAGCCACAGCACTCTAATCACTGGGTATCTGTCCATTAGTAACAAGTTAAAAATCTTCCAGGATTTTATTCTGTCACAGCAGATGTGTGTTGAAAAAGCAGCTTGGTAGCTGGAAACCATTATGGAAAACATTATGGAAACTGTGACAGTGCAGTCCAGAGGAAAGGCAGGTGTTTCATCTAGCAGACAGTTGCCTCACATTTCATTGCTTCCCACATTTCCAGGGTTGAAAAGCAAGGAGTGTGCTTCAGAGTGAAGCAACAGTCCTAAAGTTACACTGATAAAAATGCTACATTTTTACACTTAATATTTCATACTAGCTATATGTGTGCAGTGTGCCTATACCTCATTGCTTGAATATACTTCAAAATGTTGTTCAGAAGCAGTCTTCCAAGTAGACAAAAAACATTGCTGGGTACTGTGGGTGTTGCACTTTATTTGAGATCTGAAGGACTGGCTGATAAATGTATTACTGTTTGAAAAGAGTTAAAATGAATGTTTTTCAAGTTGTGCATAAGATATGCAAGAAATAACATTTAAAAGCCTACACTTTCTATGCAAAACCAACAATAAAGGTTCGAAGTTTGGAACACTTGAGCAATTTATGAAGTCTGAAAGGCTCTAGGCCTTTCAGGTGTTGGTTTTGGGTTTTAAGCATCACTGGGCCTTGCTGTATATCACAGAAGCTGCATGAATGAACTTTTTGTTTCTTTTTTAGGTGATAGCAGACAGAGTCGGCATTGGCTGTAGTTTAGTTCGTGGCAAGTATAACAGAGCTTGGAATGAAGTTCAGTTGGTTGAACACTCTCCCAAAGGGCTTCTGCTTCCTCCTCAAGAGTATATTGTAGATCTAATGTTTGAACCAGGCCATTTGCTAAAACAAGGAAGTGCACATGCTGATCAATACAAATGTATTTAATCATCTTGATGAATTTCACCAAAATAAATATTTTAAATATGTTTGCAGTGCTGTATTTATGGAACATGAGGGGGTTCATATACAGCTATCAAAAAGAAGCATATCTGGTATGTTGTTTTAAAGGTTTAATTAAATGTGGCTTTCATATCTAGCTTCAGTGCTTAGAAATTTTGTTAATTTTTTTGTAAAATGTTAAGAATACATTGCAAAACTACAGAATTAAATTTAGTAATCAATAATATTTTGTGTTCACTAACATTACAATGCTTATTAAATAAGTTAAATACCAATACAGCATATTCTCTTTTTTTTATTTTTAATTTTCCTTCAAACTTATAGGAATTTCATGTCCATAAAGCAAAAAAATGTGGCATCTGATGAAATGATAGGACACCTAAAAACAGCTGGATAATTTTTGTGTGAAATAACCCAAGAACTGAGAAATAGAACTACAATAACAGTGTACTTTCATCCTCTGTAGAAAAAATCCCATTTATATTTCTTAGAGCTTGGCAGAGTTAATATTTACATATAATAGGATACTCTGGATGAAAGTATATACTGTTTGTCTTGGCACAGGAAAGACAGATGATTGGTAAGTTAGATCTGTTTAAGTTCTTTATTTTTGACTTGAAGATAAAATGGACTCCAAGAAGTCAGCAGTTTCAGACAGAGAATTTGTATTTCTTGCAGTCTTGGGTAACATGGTGTTGCTGAAGACTGGCAGCATGTTTAAGAGAGGTAAAACACGGGCTAGAACACTCTGGCAAACACTTCCTGGTGAAACTGTCAGGAAGGTACTGGAGTATTTCAGAGACCACCACTATCAATTGAGTTTACTGTGGAAAACTGAGAGAACGTACTGTACAGCAATTAGGCCACTGCAGGCCTAACAGAACTGGATTTTGGTAGACCAGAACACCTACAACAAGGCATTTACTTCCTGCCTACCAAAAATGTGATTAAAAATTTTGGGGTCTGTGTTCTTTTAGCTTTTTAATGTTTGCCTTGATGCTTTGGTTGAGGAGGAGGTTTGTATCTGTTGTATTCATTACTGCTCACAAGCATGATCCCACCACTCCCTCTCCTTCCTCCTCTGACATGCAGCATGATTTCCTGGTAGCCCTTAGGGGAACATTTTATCTAAATTTATGTTGTAAATTTGCTTATATGGCCTCATGTTCATTTTTTTTAACCTTATGTTTAGCAGTCCCCTAGACATCAGAATGCAGAAGGAATCTTGAAACAAAATGCAGGATGTGCTGGCAGAACTGAGAGAAAGGTGAGGATGTGTTTCTTATTGCTATGTAGCAGGTAGGAGACTGATGGAAAGTCATATGATCTCACTGACAGGTATGACTGGGTATAGAAACCCACAACCTTCAAAGTCCAGTAAATTGAAGCAAAATAAGAATTAATTTCCTGCTAGCTATCATTTTGTATAGTTTTCTTACATTGGAATTTCATTATTTTGTATTGGAACCATAATGTTAAAGTATGACTTACTGTGTTTGAGGAGGTCTTGAAAAGAAAGCAATTTCTGTTGTTTCTAAAAAAAAAATCTATATAAAAAAATAGTCAAAATGCAGTTTTTCAAAATAAAAATTGGGAAATTTCTAGACATACAAGCTCACCTTACATAAAATAATTATCTAAACAAATAAAACCAAATACTATACCTTGCATTGTATAATGTGGAATTTGATGATCTAGAAATGTAGGATCCAAAAATGTTTTATGTCTTTCAGTTTTGAACTTTGTACTGTCTGAGTTCTGTCACTTCAAAATTGTAATGCACTTGGATGTCAGAATTAAGATATAGGCAGAATATAAACACTTCAATTAGAATGGTTACTTTGAAAACTGCACTTTTTTTGTCAAGTACGTCAAGAAATTACACACTTTTTTATTTTATGTTAATCAGGGACCTGTAATTGTGTCCATGGCCTGGTGAAGAAACTCCCCACCCTTGATAAGAGCAGCTCAGCTCACACTCATTCCAGAACTGAATCAGAAAAACAAAATGTTTAAACATTTCTGCAGGGCTCAGCTGGGTGAGAATTCCCAGGACATGCCCAGCACACACCATTTGGCTTGGGCTGTGCCTGAGGGAATCGATCGCCTCCTTCATTTAAGGAGCAGATGGGGAAGAGCTCGTATTTCCTTTTACATAATAGTTCACTGGGCAGATCAGTCACACAGAAGGAGTCAGGCTTGATGCCTTCCTAAGCACGAACAAAACAGTCTGCAGCTACCTCATTGCAGGATCTGTTCTGGCCACTAAACACTCTGCATCCCTTTTTGAAGATTTGCTGTCATGCAGAAAAGAATGCAGGATTAATAGACTACAGAAACAGAAAAGTTGAGCAGCCTCTTCAACTTAATATTTGGGACTAGCAATTAGGCTTTTCCTTTGGGAAAAAATAGTCTGGGTCTCCAGTATCCACTTCCAGAAATGTTCTTATATTTTACTGCCTAGACATGTAAATACCTGCTGTCTTAAGAAAAGGTAATCAGAAGTCAGGTTCATTCCTCCAGAGCTGTAACCACCAGGCAGTGACACAGAATGGGCCTCATGGCCAGCAGCTGTGCAGAATGAGAACCAAATGAGATGTGCTCCGCTTCTTGAAAGTGAGGGCAAATGGTCATCCCAGGACAGTGATGGGGACTGAAGATCCTGATTTGAATGAGGCACTCCCAAGGCATGCATCCTCACTGCCATGTCTGTGCTTCTGAGAGAAGCAGGCGTGAAGACTCTTTCCTCCTGCTTATAGGAACTGCCCAGCTTGGTACTGACTGTGCAGAAATGATGAAGTTCCCTGCTCAGTTCCTGCATGGTCTCTTCCAAGGCATCTGCAAGTGACGCACCACACATGCACACACCAACACACACCGCTGCCCCCACTACTCATTAAAAATAATTTTAGTTTTCATTTGGCATTGAAAAGCACAATGCTTATATATAGCACATCTGCATATCAAGAAATACAAATCTGGACTGTGTTAATAAAAGGTCAGGTGTGATTCCTACCTGTCTGATCAATGTAAGTCAGTAAAGCAGCAAACCGAAGTTCCAGCAGAGGTTTTGGTATGAGAGAGTCTAATGGCTGGGCAAACCTCTGCTTTTGCTTGTTCTGTGTGTCTGGGACCATTGTGGCTAAGGGAGTAATTCCAGACTCTGCAGATGAGTTTTTGGCTGAGACCTGTTTCTGAGGGGTGCTTCTGGTAATCACCTCACTGCAGAAGTGGACTCTTCTTCCCCCAGCAGGCACCAAGGCAGTACAGATTGCTGGCAGCAGCAGCTCTTCCATGCTTCTCTTCTGTTGCACTCTATCCTGAGCATTAGGAACACTGAGGTTAACTTACATTTGTTTATCTTTATGCTAGCAGGGAACAACTGCAGTGTAATTTACAGATTTGGGACATTTCAAATGGTGTCTGATTACTCACTGCTAAACTAGAGCGTTGACTTGACATCACTCCCTCAAACATTGCAGTCCCATGCATGTAGAAATTGAAATGAACTCTTCTTCCAGGAAATCTCTGTTGCTGATTAACTCTGGGTCCTGAGAAGAATCCAGAGCTCTCAGAACAAAATACGTATTTATTTTCAGATGCAAGAGGAACTTTTGTCTGTTACTTTTCTCACTAAACTTGTCTTCAGGGAAAAACAAGTCTTTTATTAGTAAACATGCGCTTTGAATGGTGACATACTATTTCATCTAGAGCTTCTTTGCATGGATCTGCGCCTCTTCTACTACATTATTTATTTCTCTGTAAATCCAGCTCATTATTGACACAGAACATCAGAATGGAAACTGCAGTGGCAGTAGACATTTCCTGGCCAGCATGTCAACTTAGTTAAGTGCAGTAAAACATTTATTATATTCATAGCCACCTAGCTGGTTTATACAAGGGTCTTCCTCCCAACAACTCTTTGGCACTTTCTATTTTCCTTCAGAAGACTGAAAAAAAAAAAGACCAAAAAATCCCTATATAATTAGAATCCCAAACACATTGTAACAAAGCAGAAGAAAGCATAAGAATGGACAGACAGACTCAAGCCAGGAGTCTATCCTTGAACGTAACCCATCTCCAGCAATGGTCAATATGGAGAAGGTAAAGAGCATGGCTCAAATACATTTCTGCATTTCCAGAGTACTCTGCTAGGTTCAGCACTTCACAACTGAGGGGATTTCTGTGTGTCTAGGGATTTAGTAACACATTTACACAGAGGTGAAAATACATAGCACTACAACCTACATAGCTCTACAACCACCCACTGGCACATCCAATACACAAACCCTCTAACTCTACAGCTGTGCCACTGTACCTCCTTTCCTCCCAGGCAGCTGTACCTCTTCCAAATAGCACAGAGAGAAAGAACCAAAGGGCTCTGCTCTAGCACTGGCTGGGGCCTTTGCAATACAACTGTGTATATGGGACATGGGACAGTTCACCAGAACTGCTACTAGAGCAGATCTTTGCAGAGAAATTAACAGCTCTTTAGACCTCTTAATGAGCTTGTTATTTTTCTATTACACAAACACTGTCTCTGACACTTAAAGATATCAGAAATAGTGGAAGAAATAGTGGAATAACTTTATCTGGTCTTCCTTGTCCACTGTCACCCAGGCAGAATTTAGAATTCATGTACAAGTAGAGTATGCACAGGAATGAGTGAAACACAGTGGGGGAGAGACATACACATACATACACACGTATATATGTCTTTGACCTATAAAAATGTTATTTGCAGGACATGGAAGAAATTAGAGTATTGGAGATACAATGAGCTAGTAAAAGCTTTTCTTTCATGAAGAGTGAGCTTATTTGCATGGTAATGAACCAGCTTGTTTTTCCAGCTCATTTATGTTTCACTGATATGCTAAGACACCATCTATGGAAATCTTGTACAAAGCATAATTGAAGCAAGTTCCTACTTGAAGCTGGATAGATGTTGGGGGAATTACAAGGTGAGAAGAACAATCATATCAGACTAGGCAACAGATCCTGTTACTCATGCAGCCCTTTGCCCAGGCTACACCCACCTATTCAAATGCTGTCTACAAACAGCTCCCCCCATGCTAATACTACCTTGCAAGTTAGCACAGCAGACCCTGTCTTCCAGCAGACCAGATGCTTGGGATTTGCAGGATCTCTTTGCTTATTCTGAAATAA